CGGTCACGCAGAGGCAGGCTGCTAAATCGGCAGTTCGCCCGAGGAACGAGCGGAGGCTTGCAGCAGCATGGCTGCTTTCTCTGCACATTCCTCTGGTGACGCTGCTCATTACCCAGCATGCAGATAACCCTGAGTCAAGGCTTTGGTATGAGCGGCGCTGCCAGGAGCTGCGTGCTCGGAATGGAGGTTACAGCCTGTGCCGAGGTGAAGCGCCCGCAGCCAGCTGTGCCCTGCCTGCCTCCCCTGGCTCCCACCGGGCTCCCACCGGACGCCCCTCTGCCCATCTACAGAAAAGGAGGTTTCCAGCGCCTCCCCGCCACCGCACCGCTCGCCCAGGGATCGTGCCCATTGAGAAGCTCTCGGCCTAATAGTAATCCCGACGAATTTAGCCGCTGCTAATAAATCCCACCCCTCCGCCCCTCCCAACCTGCCTCCATGCAAATCCATTTGTAGGTTACTTGAACAATAGCGGGGCTGTGATCGGCCCTCCCTGCTGGCAGCCCGCAGGGAGGGAGGGGAGGAGGATGATGACAGCGGGGAATTCTGCTCGGCTCCTTGAAGCTGCACAGACATGTTTCGTGTCCCCGTTCCCAGCCTCAGCGTGGAGGCAGCCGGCCGGGCGGGGATCGCCGCTCACACGCTTCCCGGCCCCGCGCAGCCGGGTTCGGCCCCAGCCGGCGCTGCGGTCACGTTGCCAGCCCCAGCCCTTGCTCACAGGGTGTGGAACGAAGTGGGGGGCCTCCGCGCTGGCAAAAAAATGAGCCCTCCCGAATAGAGCAGGCACAGGGCAGCGCTCAGCCCGTGCGTGCCGAGGGAACGGTGCCAGCCTGAGCGAGAGCTGCCGGCCTCATTATGGTTCTCCGTGGGGAAAGCCCACAGTCTTCCCGTTGTCAATGGGTGTGGGAAGGGGTTGCTTTCCTGACAGTACGTTGTTTTTCATGGCCGGCAGCAGTTTGCATCTTTGAGATTTCTCTGCGAAGGGTCACAAAAGCAGCAGTGAGCACATACGGCAGTGCTGGGCTCCAGGGAGAAGAGCCGTGAGCAGATGCCAAATCAGCTGAAACCTAAGAAGCTTGACCTTCCTCACCTCCACCCCTGCTCCCACCTCCTCCAAATAACCCTACAAGGGTGCATGGGAAGGCTGGGTGCCCGGCAGCTGGGGAATGAGATCCAGGCCGTCTACAGGCGTGCAAGGGGGTCTTGTGCTGGGGGCAGCCTTGCCAGCAGGCCCACCGCCACCAGCAAGACGTAGCCCAGCACGGCAGCGGGGCTGAACCCCCAAGCCCTGAGTGGCCCAGCCTGTCTGACCAGCTGAGGACCGTGCTGGCCGGACAGGCCGGTGACAAGCATCCTCCCTGCATCCACATGGCTGCTGGCTCCCTTGTGCTTCTCCTCTCTGCAGTTCCCCGAATGGCTGACAGACAGCGCATTCGCCGTCAGCAACTGGAAGCGGTGCAGGGTCAGGGAGCGGTTTGCGGGAGCAGAGCGAGCCCCACACGGACCCCAGGCAGGCTGGCCCCCGAGTAGCCACACAGCTCCTGCAGCACCTAATCCTTCTTTAAAGGCACGCAGCTGGGAAAAGGCATCATCTGCTGCTCCTCCTGTGCTAGCCTTCAGCAGAGCTTTGCTGTTCCCAGTCTGCGTTGCGGGTTTTAAGGCAGAAACCTAAACAACAAAAGATCAGTACACGCTTTCCAGATACTATGAAAATAAATGCAGCAGTTTCATGCTCTGTCTCCTTCTACACGAGAGGGTATAACCATGTCCTCTGCATCTTCACGGGTACGGGTGTGAGAACAGCTATGTAGGTACAGAACTGTGTTTTGGGTAGAAAATGCATGCTGTAATGGATTCTCATGGCTGAATGCCAAGGGGGAAGCTGTTCTGCTTCAAGAATAGCCCTACAAGAGTCAGCATTACAGTGACAGTTCAGTACTCTGCTACAAATCTACAGGATGTGTCACTTTGGCAGAGAAAGAGGCTGCTAATGCACAACACAAGCCATCCTGCTATGAATGGAGAATGGCTGCATACCACACAAAAAAAGAAAATGGCAAGAACTAGAGGAGAGGGAAGCTGCAAAGCAACTACTGCATAGTAAGCTGGGAACCTGAGAGCTAGGAGGAGACAAAGCCCATTCCCTCGAGGGGAAGAAAAACTCAGTTCTCAAGAAACGTAAAGAAGCAAAGACAGCCCTTTTTCCAGTGACTACTGCAGAGCTGTGCTGGCAGCCAGCCTGTTTGAAAAGATCACAGCTTCAAAACAATGTCAGTCCTGACCAGTTTGGAGCTCAAATGCTGAAGGAGGGGAGAGGAAGAGCACGCTTAGATGCACAGCACTGCTAAGCAAACAGAAACGATAACAAGGTTTGTGCTGAAGGACGCTCCTGATGGAGCTGTGTAGTATTTCCCCCAAAAGGACATAACATCTCCTTGCTGCACAAACACTTCTATCTCCAACTCGCACAGAGCTGCCAACACTTACAAAACAAACACCCAGTGCCACACGTGTTCTAGCCCATTTCTTAGAAAATAAGGCTACGAGGCTATTAAAAGTAATGTCAAGAATAATCTCACAGGAAAAAAAAAAAAAAAACCAACAAAAAACAAAAAAACCACCTTGGGAAAATAAACCATTTAAATACTTCCCCATTGCGAGAAGGAATGAGAGCACAACAAATGACCACCTGGACAAATAAATTTTGTACACGATGTATTTGAGCAAACATTTAGCTTTACCTTAAATAACTGCAAAATAAGGGGGGAGGGGAGCATGGAAGCACTGCTGCAAAACTCAGACATCTGCTAAAGCTCTGACCATGAGCCCCATGCGGCAGCTCCCCTTTCCCCTCCTCAAACAGCCTGTTTGTCAGCTGTGGGCATCTTCAGAATGTGAAAAACCTATGGAGTGGGTTCAAAGAAACGCTGGCTAATGTGCCACGACTGGCTGCTTAATGAGCCAGAGTGAAGGAAAAGGTCACGTGGTTCCAAAAAACCTCCATACAACAAATGTCCTGGAGCGATCGTTAACTTTAATTAACTGCAGTATTACAATTCACTTCAAGCTTATTTTCCACCTCTGTCCACTGCCCCTTCCCCTTCCTTTGCCTGTTATAAATCAAACGGATGGGCCTTGTAAATGGACCTACATTTCGAAAACTGTGGCTGATAAAAGCTTTCCAAGAATGCTCCTCAGTTCAAGAAATCCACCACACGAAGCTCTTCACAACCCCAACCACCAGTGACTGATTTCAAGATCACGAGAGCATATCTCCATAAATGTGGGAATTCACCCTTCTAGGACATAGCTAAGTGTCAAATAGCTGTACTTCTTTTACTGCCAGCTGCAATTCATGTATGAATATTACTTCTCTCCTGGTTACGTTTAAACTTCAACTTGTTCCCTGTGTATGCTTCTTTTCTCTGTCAGTCATTAACTCACAGCTCTAATCCCCCTGTCTCTTGCTTTGGATATATACTACCGTGTAGTAACTGCAAGTTTTAAAAGAATTTAAAATAAAATCAGTACAAATCCATATTCTAAAAAACATGCCTGTTGCATCCAATAATTAACTCAAAAGATTCTTTCTCTGTGTTATTCACTGAATGTGCTACATAGCAACTGCAGGTTTTGAGATTTGGAAGCATCAGTGTATGAAACTGCAGAATAATAATAATAATATATATGTATGTATACAGTAATTGTCTGAAGTCACAAATGCTGCGATGCCAAAGAACGAATCTCAAGATATCACCGCCAGTATACAAAATAGCAGGAGTAGGTATCCACAGGAGAGAGCAAAGATGTGTGCATGCACACTAAGCACAGTCTCTCTCAAGGCTTCTGCCATCACAGTTACACTTCCCACCAGGAACACATGTGAAAAACGTCTTACAAAGAGCAATTGGATACCGAATGCCATCCAGACTTTTGAAAAGAATCTCTGCATGTAATTGTGGTGGGGTTTTTGTTTTTTTTGTAGGAAGATGAATCCTTAACATTCAATAAAATTCAGAGCTCATCACCTCTGACACTATTGCAGTTGGAAGGTCTCTGCGTTCTGTTGGTCAAACTGCAAAGGGTTTCTGCAGGGCTGCTCGGGTTTTGGTTCGGGTTTTTCTCTCTCCTCCATTTGCCTCGCTGGAAAGGACAAAGTTCACATTAGGTTTGTTTGCATTTTCTAGCCAGTGTGAAGGCCCCTGTATTTGCTTTGCCTGTTGATCGCCTAGTAGGTATTGCAGTCTCCATAAAACGTCAACGTCACATAAAATAGTTAATTATACAAAGAATTGCATGCGATCCTTGCCAGAAGGAAAGCAGTTCAATCCAGCACTTCAAGGGAAGCTTCCTCACCTGAAAACACACCACAGCACGGCTCACGTCACCAACTCCATTAGCAAAAGCCATTGCCCAGGGGGGTGGCAGCCCCCCGGCCACAGCACCAGCCGCAGGAGCCGCGCGCTCCCACCGCCCCTCTGGTGCCGAGCCACAGCCCTGCTCCACCGAGAGCCCACGGCGACCGCCAAACTGCCTGACTTTTAAAAACAGCCCGAAGCACGGAGCACGTGATGCCGCTGCTTTTGTGAAAGAAAGCTTCCTTTCAAGTCTGACGCCTTCCTAAATTGCACGGGCGATGGATGCATCCTGTATTGCAAACAAGGCTTGCAGCTGGAGAGCTGGGGGTGGGGGGAGCAGGGAGGAGGAAATGAGATGCAGAAACAGTAAATAGAAAATGCTTAGTCAGCAACATGTTCCTGCAACGTTAAAGGTGAAATGTAAATAGGCACGGTGCCAAGACTCAGATGAATTCGATAACACCGTCAACATCACCACCATCACCATCATCATCTCCCGGCGTGTGTGTGAAAGTGTGCGGACAGCAGCACCGCCAGCGCGGCCATCTGCAGCTCTCCCATCATGGAGACTTTTAACCGGGCACACACGGCACGGCACGCGCACTGCCTGAGCTCCGCAAAGAACACCACTCGCTACTCGAGGAGTATTAATATCAATTGAATTTATTACAATTTACTAAGCTCCAAGGCACATTACAGTGTTCTGTTAACTACAGAAATGTATAAAGGACAAACAGAGCATGTTTTCATGTACAGCATTTTGCTCTACTGTTCAAAAGCATCCGTGCATCATTAAAAGCAAAAACGAAAAACACATGAAGATTAAAAACGTTCAGATCAATAGAAACAAACTGAAACATTTTCCTTACAAACTTGCAACAAAAAAACGCCCTCCCCCCAGAGCCACCCCACCGTTTGCAAACAAAAAAACAAAAACAGAAAAAAGAAAGTGAAGGACTAACACTCAGGGCTCGTAAAACAGAAGCTGTCACCATTTTTCGTAGCAATTTTTTAGGCATCAACACTGGCCTTGGCAAAAAAAAAAAAAAAAAAAAAAAAAAATTTTTTTTTGTTGTTTTTCTTCTTTCTGTCAGAGAAGTGCATACATTTACAAAAATACACACCAGCAGCAGGTAATCGCTAAGGGCTATTAACTTGGTACCTAGCCAACACACTGCCAAAGAAATGAGAACAGGTATTATGTAGTAACCAAACAATATTATATTCTGTTTAACAAAAACCAGCTCTATCCTTCAAATGAAGAAGAGTACATACCTTTGTTTCAAAATATAGAAACATACGACGAAAATAATGTCTATACATAAGACTAACTTTTGCAGTTCGTTATATTCACAATTCTACATCTTCAGGAGCCTGAAGGGATGGGATTTCCTACTCAAGGGTCTCTCTCCTTTTTCACTTTAACGTCCCCGGCTAGGATGGTAGCGATCTCGCCCTGCATAAACGCCCAAGGCACATTGGAACCTACAAGGGGGCATTTCTCTCCGCTGGGGCAGTAGACCTCGCCGGTCGCCCCCTGGGCCTTGATGCTCTCTCTGGAACAGGGGAAGCAGAACTTGTGGCTGGGCACCGAGGGGCACTGAACAAAGTGGGTGTCCTCCAAGCGTTCGTGGCAAATGGTGCAGCACAGGGGCCCGCTGTTGGCCATGGGGGAGTCCGGAATGTTTTGGGGGTGCACTTGGTCCATGGCGGGGTGGGCGCTGGGGGGAGGAGGGGCCACTTGCAGGTTCATGTCCCCGTTGCGGGAGGCCAGGCGGCGCTGGCCCGGCACGGAGGCCGGTGACACGGGGCTGCTGCTGTTCCTGCGGGTAGAGGTGGTGGAGTGCACCGAGCTGCCGTCCTTGGGCGAGTGGGCATTGCCCAGCGTGTCGGCCACCGACATCAGCGCGGCCATGGGGGACTGTCCGTTCTGGGGGGCGGACTCGGGCGGCGTGGTCCTGTTGGAGTGGGGCCCGAGGGGCGGCGGTGGTGGCGGCGGCGGGGGGCCCCCACCGTGCACCGCCCCGAAGCCCCCGGCCGACATGGTGAGCTTGAGCGCTTCGCTCTGACTGGCCATCCACTGCTGCCGCTGCTGCTCGTCGCTCAACTTCAGGGCCCCCTCGGCCGAGTCCGAGGGCTCGGGGGACGCCTTCCTCTTGCGCATGGCCCCGCTCCCGCTGCCGCCGCCGCCGCCCGGGCCCCGGGAGGCTGCGGCCGCGCCCTGCGTCCCGCCGGCGCCGGCCCCCGGCCGCGGGAGGCTCACTAGCGCCGTGGGCAGCATGGGGCAACTGGCGTCCAGGTAGGGCTGCGGCAGCATGTCGGCGCCCACCAGCTCCTTGAAAAAGCGCACGGACTCGGGCAGCAGGTCCCCCAGCAACCGCCAGTCGCCGGAGCCGTGCTTCTTCTCGTACTCCAGGTACTTGAAGCCCGAGGAGAGGCCGCGGCCGAAGTCCTTCATGCAGTCCTGGTACATCTGCTTGGCCACGCCAGAGGCGCTGGAGAAGACCGTGCCAGAGCCGCTGGGGTACTCGATGAAGAGCTTCAGCTCATAGTCCATGCCCGGCTTGGAGACGGCGTCGAAGGCAAAGACCCGGCCGAGCAGGGCGTGATCCTTCTTGAAGCGCACCTCGTAGGGCGTGCAGCCGGCCAGCGTCAGCAGCGTGTCCCGCACGATCTTGGGCTTGCTGGCCCACTCCTCGGCCCGGTTCCTTAGGCTCTCGCTCAGCTCAGCCAGCGCCTCGGCGTTGCGCTGCTTCTCCTTCAGCTCGCGCTCCTGGTCGCTGCTGGACACCGAGCCCGGCCGCTTGCCGCAGCCTTCCGCGGCCGGGCCGCCGCCTCCCCCGGCGCCGCCGCCGCCGCCGCACGCGCCCCCCTGGGAGGAGGCGGAGGGCGCCGGGGGGCCGCCGCCGCCGCGGCCGCTCAGGCCCCCGTGCGGCGGAGGCAGCGCCACGCCGGAGGCGGCGGGCCCGTTGAGCAGGGTCTGCGGCAGCAGGTTGGGGGGAACGTTGAGCTGCGCGCCCGCCGCCCCCGGGGGGAGGCCGGACACCAGCCCGCCGTGCGCGCCGCGGCGGGAGGACGAGGAGGACGACGAGGAGTTGGGGCTCTGGCGGTTGAGCTCCGGCGGGCCGTCCTCGGGAGCCTTAGGGAAGCCGTTGGGCCCCCCGAGCCCGTTGGGCAGGCGGGCGCCGTGGCCGCCGCCCAAGCTGCCCGGAGGAGGCGGGTACTCGAAGCGGCCGCGCTGCTCGGCCGCCGCCGCGCTCAGCCCGTAGCGTTCCAGGCCGGACTGGGAGAGCCCCGAGGCCGCCTTGGAGGACGCGTCCACATGGTTGAGCTGCTGCTGGGCCGCCGCCGCCGCCGCCGCCGCCTCCTTGGCCGAGAGCGGCACCGCCTTGACGCCGACGGGCGGCGGGGGGCCCGGGGAGCGGCCGTCCTGGAAGCAGCCGTGCGCCCGCTTCAGCTGCCGCGCCGTCTCTATGACGAACTCGATACGGTCGGCGCCCTCGTAGTTGACGCAGCCGCGGCAGACGGGCTCCGTGAAGTCCCAGATCATGGCCCAGGGCATGCGGGGCAGGTCGCACAAGTAGCACGACTGCCGCCGGGACGACGACACCTGCGCGGCGGACATGATGCCGCTGGCCGGGGAGCCGACGCCTCCGCTGTCGGGGCCGCCTCGCTCTTCCCCCGCGGGCCGGAGCTGGAAGGAGCGTCCGTACCCGCTCCGGGCGCCGCTCGCGGCCGGGACTCGCCCGCTGTTAGCCGGGGACGGCCGCCGCCGCCCGCTCCCGGCGCTGCTGCCCCGGCGGGGAGGGGATCGGCGTCTGCCGCTGCCGCGGGGGGCTGGGCGGGGGTCGCCTTCTCGCCGCGTCTGTTTCCCGGCGCTCTCTGCCTCTCCGCCGCTGCTCCTCCTCCGGGAGGAGGCGGAGGTGCTCGGAGGAAGACGAGGAGGGGGGGG